CTTTCAGGATTTGAAATAGCTCAACTGGAATTCCATCACCTCCACTAGCTTCGTTCGTAGTGATGCTTCCTAAGGTCCACTTGACTTCACATTCCAGAATGTCTGGCTCTAGGTGAGTGATCACACCATCATGATTATCTGGGTCATAAAGATCTTTTTTGTATAGTTCTTCTGTGTATTCTTGGCACCTCTTAATATCTTCTGCTTCTGTTAGGAAGGATATGCTTCTCAGGAGGTTACGCTGCTCCTATGAAACATGACCCCATCCTCAAGGCCATCCTAGCTTAAATCAACACACATGAAACCACAGAGGATGATGTGAAATCATAAGCTGAGTGCACACCTTCATTCACTCATTCAGCAAACAGTGATGGCAGCTTCTGTGGGCCAGGTCCTGTATGTATGGGGTTCTGGGAGTCAGCTGTGAACTAGGACAGACCCTGGCTTGACATGTGGGCGTCCATGAGGTTCACAGATGATCAGAAGGTGGTGAGCATTTGTGGAAGAAAAGGAAACACAGCTCTGGGAATAGGACACAGAGCTGGCAGCGGAGGTAGTCAGGGAAGGCTTCCAGAGGGAGGTGATGGTCAGCTGAGGCCTGAAGGGAAGGAGGGAGTGAGTGACCAGGAGAAAAGAGGGAGGCACCTTCCAGGCAATGACATCACTGTGCAGGGAACAGGGGAGGGAGGAGAGGGGCTCGGGGGTCCACACAGGCTCTGTGTGGCTGTAACATGGAAGCAGCGTGGTGACAGGTGAGGCAGGGGCAGAGAATGAGGGGCTAAGTGTCCTACTAAGAAGTGTGGACCTGAAGCAGAGGGAACTAGGGAGTCTCGGAAAGGCTTTGAGCAGGTCCTGAGGGCCCAGCCCTGCATTCCGGAAACCTGCTTCCAGCTTGGAATAGGGAGGCTGGAAGCAGGGAGACCCAGGGAGGCCAACAGTCTCACTAACCCTGCATCTCCAGTAGGCGGTGAACAGGCAGCCAGCTGCAGGCCAAGCCTGAAACAGGGACTTGTTTCAGGAGGGATGGGCCTCCCTCTCCAACCCTCACAAAGCCCAAAGATAAAAATAACCACTGATACACTGTGTGTGCTTAGTCGCTCAGTTGTGTCCGACTCTTGCAACACCATAGACTGTAGCCTGCCAGGCCCCTCTGTCCATGGGATTCTCTAGGCAAGAATACTGGATTGGGTTGCCATTTCCTTCTCCACTTAGGACTAACATTTATGGAGCACTTACTTTGTAATGTGTTCCAGCTATGTCACTGACCTTCTCAATGCTAACAGGGAATGCTATGCTCAGCATCCCCATTCTGCAGGTAAGAAACGGGCTCAGAGAGACATAGGATACACAGCCAACAGAATCATCTAGATTTGAACCCAGATCTGGCTGACTCCAGGTCTTAATCACTCAGCAAAACTGCCCCCTAGACTAGAAATGGCGGAGAAGGCAATGGCAAACCACTCCAGTACTCTTGCCTGGAAAATCCCATGGACAAAGGAGCCTGGTAGGCTGCAGTCCATGGGGTCGCTAGGAGTCAGACACGACTGAGCGACTTCACTTTCACGTTCATGCATTGGAGAAGGAAATAGCAACCCACTCCAGTATTCTTGCCTGGAGAATCCCAGGGACGGGGGAGCCTGGTGGGCTGCCGTCTATGGGGTCGCACAGAGTCGGACACGACTGACGTGACTTAGCAGCAGCAGACTAGAAATGTCTCCAAGCACGTGTGCAGCGCCCCCTGCCGGCCAGCTGTGGAAAATCTAACACACCATTCTCAGGGCCTCTGGGGTCTCATCGGGCTAGGACAACCAAAGGATTGCTAAAGATAGTGGTTCTCTTTTAGACGGCAGGGATTCCTTTGAGAAACTACCCAAACTACACCTCCTTCCCCTAGTTCCAGGAAAATTCATAAATGCACAGGATCACAAAAGCAATTTCACAGACTCCCTTCCAAGAGCCCCAGGTGAAGTGCCAAGGGGGACTGGGACACTAGTGGCTCCAAGAATTCAGGAGGAACTACAGTGAGAGCCTGCCCCTACCCGACAGAAGAGCTGCCACTCCTCAGGCCCCTGTCGCCACCCTCTTATCAAACCTGCAAACAGAATTGGAGGGAGAGGGCAGTGCCGGGGAGGATAGAGCTGCCATCCCCTCTGCAACATCCCCATCTAGTGGCCAAAGGTTAGAATTGCATGTTCCTCCGGAACACCTGATTTCCTGTCGAATTTGGACCGTTTGCAAAGCCCACAAAGGCAATCTGGGTCACTGCACTCGGGACACTGAGCACAGGTCAGCCCACTGCAAAGCCCTGTGCTTTCAAGAGTCGGAGGACTCACACTGCAGGCTTCCTAGTTTAGGTGAGAATAATGATGATGACGACTGAATTTTCTTAGTTACACTTTTGCAGGTGAGATTTATCTTGCATGCTCATATTTTAAATACATCTCATTTAGTTCCCACATCCCACAGTACCAGTGCAAAAATTCAGGTCAAATGCTAAATCCTGCATTAGGAAGTGGCAAGGCAGAACGTCAGTCTAGATCGGTTGGGTTCAGTTCAGTTGCAGAGACCGTCACCACTGTGCTCCTACCTCTCCGATCAGCCAGTGGTTACAGGGCACCTAGTTCAGTCCTAGGGCTTCCCTCGTAGCTCAGCTGGTAAAGAATCCGCCTGCAACGCAGGAGACCCTGGTTCAATTCCTGGGTCAAGAAGATCCGCTGGAGAAGGGATAGGCCACCCACTCCAGTATTCTTGGGCTTCCCTTGCGGCTCAGCTCGTGAAGAATCCCCCTGCGATGCGGGAGAACCTGGGTTGGATCCCTGTGTTGGCAAGATCCCCTGGAGAAGGAAACGGCTACCCACTCCAGTATTCTGGCCTTGCGAATTCCATGGACTATAGGGTCACAAGGAGTCAGACACGACTGAGTGACTTTCACTTTCATTAATTTAGTCCTGCATGCATTTCTGCAAGACTTAATTTTGTTCCACTATTATTCTATCCTATTTTTAGACCTGAGACTAAAAAGTAGTCATTTTCCACACAATGACAGGCAGAATGACACGTTACAGCAAATAACTCTGCTCTCTTATCCCTTAGGAACCACGGGAGTGGTGCTGACGCAGAAATGTTTCGACATGTACTCTGGAGGTAGGCCCCTCTGTTGGCCCCGAAGTCGAGGGTGGGCTGAGCTACCGCCTGTGGCAGGGAGGCCACCCATGTGCCAGGAAGCTGGGCTCCTGTCTTCAGAGACACAACCAGACAGCGGCAGAAAGGGCGGGGATTGGGGGGTGCGTGGAGGGCCATCCCGCTTCCTATGCAACCCCTTACTACTGGCTCATTGGGCTCTCCTGGATGCAGATCCTAAGACCAGGAAGTGAGGAGGTACTCTCGGGCGGCAGTAGGGAGTGGGGGAGTGAGCGGCGGAAAGGAAGGACAGCCAGTACCAGCGTTCTCCAGCCAGGGCCCACTGCGGGAGCTGGTGCCTCCGAGATGCTCTGAGGGGCGAGAGAGCTGGGCTGCTCCTACCCCTGTTCCTTGGTTCTTCTCAGACTTCTGGCCTGCCTCAGGGCACAAAGGAGCATCTGGAGGCCAGAGAAGACCTTCAGGCCAAGCAACGCTGGTGCTGGCAGTGGGAGGCCAGGGCGCGTGTGCGCAGCATAGCTCCTTACAGACAGCAGAGGACTGGTTTCTACCAGGACAGATGAACTGAGCTCGGCCCCCTGTCCCTCCCTGTCCCCGCAATCACAGGGCCAGCTCGGCTCGGGCATCACCGCGCTGAGCCTAAGATAGCCCAGCCCGGAAGCTCCTCACAGAGCGGAGGCCCTGCTGCTCTCGTCAGCTGATTTCTTCTATCCTCAGTCTCCCGTCTCTGCCTCCATCTCCAGGGAGAACCTGCCTCGCTGCACCCCCCCTAAATACATGAGCCCAAGAGGGGAGCCGTCACCAAGCGGGGGAGAGCAGGAAGGCCTCTGGGCTCTGCGTGCAGAGCAGGGGCTGAAATGTGGGAAGGGGACGTCTGACACCCAGAAGTGACGGCAGATGGTGTTTGAGAGGCAACCAGTGGCAGCATCCTTAGGGACAGGCTCCAGGCTCCCCACCATGGCCATCTTCCAGCCAAGTCCCACCTCACAGATAGGGCCTGCAGGGCCAGAGGATGTGCCCCCTGGAACCCGCATCAGGGCCCATTCACTCCCGTTCCAGGTGCTGCCACGCTGCAGACATGCCCGTACGACTGAGGGTGGCCCAGGGTGACGGCTGCTGAAGGGGAGGGTGGCAGTTTCAGAGCGTGGGCAGGCAGGGTGGGCTGTCCATATGCAAGCATGCCAAGCGCCTCCTAGTGCAGGCTGGAGTGGGATCAAGAGGGGAGCCGTCACCAAGCGGGGGAGAGCAGGAAGGCCTCTGGGCTCTGCGTGCAGAGCAGGGGCTGAAATGTGGGAAGGGGACGTCTGACGCCCAGAAGTGATGGCAGATGGTGTTTGAGAGGCAACCAGTGGCAGCATCCTTAGGGACAGACGTGGGGACCTATGCCATAGGCTCCAGGCTCCCCACCATGGCCATCTTCCAGCCAAGTCCCACCTCACAGATAGGGCCTGCAGGGCCAGAGGATGTGCCTCCTGGACCCGCATCAGGGCCCATTCACTCCCGTTCCAGGTGCCGCCACGCTGCAGACATGCCCGTACGACTGAGGGTGGCCCAGGGTGACGGCTGCTGGAGGGGAGGGTGGCAGTTTCAGAGCATGGGCAGGCAGGGTGGGCTGTCCATATGCAAGCATGCCAAGCGCCTCCTGGTGCAGGCTGGAGTGGGAGACGGGTGAGAAGAGCGTGGGGCAGGCCGCAGACTGAGGGCAGGGCCCTTCCTTTGTTCTCTGTCCAGGGTCTTGCAGATATTCAGGGTGGCCGGGGCCAGGTTATGGAAAAGGTCCAGCGTCTGGATTCAGAGATTTCAGGCTGTGAGACCTGAGGTGGGTGACATCACTTGAATGTCAGTTTTGTCATCTAAAAAATAGGGGTCACCATAGAGACTACTTCATGAGATGGATGTGAGAATTAAATGATACTCTGCAATAATCAGGGGGAGGGGCCCAGAGGGGCTTCACCCCGAACCCCCTCATCCCATCACTGTCATTCAGAAGCAAGACAGTCATATGTCAGGATGGAGAGGGAAAAATGAAAGGATAAACCAAGTTGTTTAGCGCCTTATTATAAACATGGGTGTAACCCTAAGTCATGTATGGATATGAGATGTGGACTATAAGGAAAGCCGAGCAGCAAAGAATTGATGCTTTTGAACTATGGTGTTGGAGAAGACTCTTGAGGGTCCCTTGGACTGCGAGGAAGTCCAACCAGTCCATCCTAAAGGAGATCAGTCCTGGATGTTCATTGGAAGGATTAATGCTGAATCTGAAACTCCAATACTTTGGCCACCTGATGCGAAGAGCTGACTCATCTGAAAAGACCCTAATGCTGGGAGGGATTGGGGGCAGGAAGAGAAGAGGACGACAGAGGATGAGATGGTTAGATGGCATCACCGACTCAATGGACATGGGTTTGGGTAAATTCCGGGAGTTGGTGATGGACAGGGAGGCCTGGTATGCTGCGGTTCATGGGGTCGCAAAGAGTCGGACACAACTGAGCAACCAAACTGAACTGAACCATAACTGATGGGGAACCAGAAAGAAGCCTTTTGAGAGCAAGTCACCCCTTCCCACAGGAGACCAAGAGAAAAAAAGAGAGAGATGATGGCTTTTCAGAGTGAGAAGATATTATCGGAAGGCACACTTCATTCTTCCAAACATCTGCCGCCCCTCCCAGACAAGAGCCAGATGTTGATATCTGGTGAAGCTCAAACAAAGGAGTGTTTCTTTCAGAGCTCCCACTTTCGTCTCAGAGTCGAAGGGCCGCCGTGGTCACTGACTGGAGGCCTCCATGTTACAGAGCAAGTTGGCAGCTGGACTTGCTTGGGGGACTTGACTTTGCCTCTGAATTCAAGGGATCCCCACAGAATTAATAAGAATCGGGGCAGCTTCCTGGGCACACAGCCTGTGAGCAGGGCGGTCACACACAGGGCCTCTTGCTTAGAAGAAACTTGATTCCATGCTCTGCCTTCACTGTCTTGAAATGATTAATAATTTTTTCAACAAAAGATCCACATTTTCATTTTGCACTGGACCCGAAAGATCATGTAGTCAATCCTGCTAGTAATTGTAACTCTATTATAATGCACTTACTGTAAGCCCAGAGTTATCGTCACTTTTGACCTTTACAAAAGTGCTCTGAGCAGGGCTATTAATCATCCTCATTTGACAGATGTAGCCCCGGCTTTGCGCACCAGGTCACTCTTGCCTGTACTTCCTCTGCCATTCAAGAGCCCTCTGCATAAGTGACGCTGTATCCAGAGTACTATTGCATTCTCAGTATGTTCATTTAAATCAGCTCACTCTCTTTTTTTTTTTAACCTAAATAAATAGATCTTAAAAGGAAATTATATCACTGCCCTAAGTTGAAAGCCATTATCATTTTTTATGCAGGGAAGGTGACCATAAACATAAGCACAACAGAAAAAAGTTATCTGTCACTGAAGCAAACTGCATGCTGATGCCTGCCCAGGTGCTGTGCCTAGACCTGCTCTCTGTTCATTCCAGAGATCTCGCAAGAGCAGGCATGCTTTGCAGATGCAAAGGGAGATGTGCTGCTTGACCTAAGCTGGAGAGTTGTTCTGTGACCGGAGTTGTCCAGTAGGTGCACGCTCTAAGTCAGCACGGACAAGCTGGGCGCATCTGAAACAGTGTAGAAGGCGGCAGCTGGCAGTGTGCAAAGAGCCCAGAGCCCTGGGAGAGGACTGTGCACAGACCCTAGGGGGTGGGGTGTAGACCGCCAAAGGCTCTTACCTCAGCTGCAGCTCAGAATTGCTCGGAAAACACTCAATATCCAGAGCCCGCCCCAGGCCAGCTGAACGAGGGTGCCCTCACTCTCTGCAGATGGGGCTCGGCGTCCGGCCACCCGGGCCCTCCAGGATCATCAGGGCTAGAGGAGAAGATGAGGATAGCCAGCCATCTTTCCCCTAAATGACCTTCACCTCGTTTTTCGTTTCTCCCCCAGATGCTAGCCTCCTGGCAAAATTCCTTAAAGAAATTTCGGAGCAGATGCTGGTGTTGGTGGCCTCCTACGATGACCCAGGGACCAAGTAAGTGGGAACCTCTGCCTGCACTGTCCCTGACGATGCCAGGGACGCATAGACAAGGGGCAAGAGTGAATCCAACACTTACTGCATGCAAGCCCTCTCCTGCTATCCTGCGGCTCCAGCTTCTGGCAACTTCTCCTAAGGAACCAACCAGACAGGCGCACAAAGGGATGTTCTGGCGGATTCATGACAGTGGTGGTCACAACAGTGAAAAACCTGCCAATTAAAATACATCAATTAAAAAAAAAAAACTGGCCACCCTGTCTGTCTGGTAATAGTCAACTGGTGACAGAAATCATGATGTATGGCAACGTAGAATGTATTATTATATAGACATAAAAGAGAAAATACTGCATCAGAAATGATGATGTAAAAAATTTTTCAAAAAAGAAAGAAATGATGATATAGAAAATATTTAAGGATCTGGAAGAATGTTCACTCTTTAGCATTAATTTTTAAAAAATCAGGTTACGAAAGAGTTGGTATAATCCCACAGTGCATGAGGGAAAAAAACATGAAGGAGATATAATGAAATTTTACAATGATTATGTCAAGGGCAGGTGAGACTGTAAATCATTTTTAGTTACTTTGTGAAGTTCCATATTTCCCAGTGAACTTGCATTATATTTGTAAGCAAAAGCAGGACCATTTTAACTCCTCTCCAGCCTTGCGGGGTGGCTTTTGAAGGGGTGTCCTGGCTGCTCCCACTCAGAGCTCCTCACCGCCACCCACACTGGAGGTGGGGTGGAGGGGAGCCCAGGAGATGCTCCCCCTTCTCCCATCCCTCCTCACCGTCCTCGCTGGTCCCCTGCAGGATGAACAAAGAAATCAGGGAGCTCTTCTCCAACTTGGGCAGCACCCACGCGATGCAACTGGGCTTCCGGGACAGCTGGGTCTTCTTAGGGGCCCAAAACTTCAAGAGTAAAAGCCCCTTTGAGCAGGTGAGTTCCTGGCAGCCTCCTTGTCCCAGTGAAGGGGGGGTGGGGGGTAAAGGGGACGATGCCAGGGCGACGCCAGGGACGGACAGACAAAGGCTGGGATGGCTGGCGAAGAACACACGGGTCAGTGTGAGGAGGGCCACCCAGCTGTCATCCACCCCAGAGGTCAGGGTGGCCAGACTGGCTCCTTCTCCAGTAGGAAGCAGCCTTGGCCATTGTACAAGGAGCTGGGTCCTGTATAAACACATAGATAAGTAGATAAGTACCAAAAAGGAGAAGGGAAGGGGAGGGGAGAGATGAAAGGAAATTCAGGCATGGAGGAAAGGGAAAGGAATGTGGAGATGAAGCTCCTGTGACGTGATGGGGCAAGGGGGAGTCCAGAGCAGAGAGTGGATGTGTATCTTCTGATCCCCACTGCAAGCCCTTCCTCCCCACCTGTACACGGGCAGGTTTGGCCAGGGGAGCCCCAGTTCCCTTCTAAGTTCCCTGTGGAGAAGGTGAGCTTGTACAAAGAAGGAGACACAAGGAGGCCGCCGCGTGTGTATGTGGAGGTGTCAGGACAGACCCATGATCTGAGCTCCACAGTCAGTACCCGGGGGCGGCCCAAGCAGAGGGCAACTGGGAGACACCCAGGCTGGGGCTTGAGGTGCCCTCGCCGGAGGAAGGGGAAGTCAGTGGAGGGTTGGGGACCCCAAGGAAATGCTGCAGCTTGTCCCCACCATGCAGTCATCTGTGCATCCCCAGCTCAGAGCAATTCCAAAACCTGGGAGAACTGGCCAGGCCTCCCCAGCATGAAGCTGGCCAGTCTCTGGTGGTGAGAACATTCAGCTTTGCCAGGACCCAAGACAGGAAGCCAAGGGTCAGGCATATGGACCCACTGAGGAACGCAAACGCTGGCCTGAAGGCAACGGGGAGCCATGGTAGGTTAAGCGGGAGAGTGACCAGATCAGATGGATAATAAGAAAGACTAGTATTCAGCAAGTGCTTGCTCTGTGCAGGCACGGCTGAGCAAGTGACCTGCAGGGTCTTATTTAGCCTGACAGTGATCACGCATCACATCTCACAGATGGGGATCCAGAGCCTTGGAGACGTTTTAACCGGCTTGCTCTGTGATAGGGACGCATGTCTCATCCAGGTCTGCGGCCTCCGCAAGGCCTTCCCGTCCCGATACTTTCAGAACGGCCTCCCTGGCTGGGTAGAGACAGCGCTGTGGAAGCGGCAGGCGTCGGAAGGAGGCCTGGACGGGGCGGGGCTGCGGGCGGCAGAGAAGGGGCGGAGTCGAGCTGCCCAGGGCGGAGCTTCCGGGAGGCGGGCGGGGAAGGGCTGAGCCAAAGTGGGCGGCTAGGGGTCATGCCTGGCTTGGGAAATGTTGGCCTGTCTGTGTGTGTGTCTTTCCAAGAGGACGTATTCAGGCAGTCATAAATTACTTATTTTAAAAAAGAAGGAATAAAGTAGCTTCACCCTCCGGGGGTAGGGGCGCCAGAGTGCCCCCTGTGGGCGGTGCGGAGGCAGGACTCCCTAGGAAGAGGCTTGACGAGGCGCTGTTCCTCTTGGAAGCGCAGATTGCAGACCCAGCAAAACTGGGCCAGGTACAGCAAACGGGAAGCACGGAAGTCAAGTCAGCACCACCTGTTCCCTGGTTTCTGTGATAAGTTCGCTGCAACCCAACACCCAAATATGAGCCAAAGACCCCAAAAGCATCCTGTCCTTTGTTCTCACACATGGAAAGCTGGGTTTTGGAGAAGCCTCATCTACAGTTTATTTTTTCTTCCTAAAAGTTAGTTAGCCAAGGTTATCCCACTGGGAGATTTTTATCATTTACATCTTTCTTCCACAAATTAAGCCTGAGCATTTTATGTTTTTTATTTTTTTAATTTCATAATATATATATTTTGTTGAAGTATAGTGTTCCAGGTACAGCAAGCCGATTCAGTTATACATATGCACATATATTATTTTCCAGATTATTTTCCATTATAGGTTATTATAAGATACTGACCATAGTTCCCTGAGCTATATGGTAAGTCTTTGTTGCTTGTTGCATACCTATTTTTTAATTAAAAATCTAGCATTCTAAGTCAAACAGTCAAAATATCATAAATTTTTTAGTCAGGCAAAAAGTCATTAAGTTTTCTAAGATATGTATATTATACATACTATTTGTATCAGTCAGTCAGTCAGTTCAGTCGCTCAGTCGTATCCGACTCTCTGCGACCCCATGAATCGCAGCACACCAGGCCTCCCTGTCCATCACCAACTCCCGGAGTTTACTCAAACTCATGTCCATCGAGTCGGTGATGCCATCCAGCCATCTCATCCTCTGTCGTCCCCTTCTCCTCCTGCCCCCAATCCCTCCCAGCATCAGGGTCTTTTCCAATGAGTCAACTCTTCGCATGAGGTGGCCAAAGTATTGGAGTTTCAGCTTCAGCATCAGTCCTTCCAATGAACACCCAGGACTGATCTCCTTTAGGATGGACTGGTTGGATCTCCTTGCAGTCCAAGGGACTCTCAAGAGTCTTCTCCAACACCACAGTTCAAAAGCATCAATTTTCCAGTGCTCAGCTTTCTTCACAGTCCAACTCTCCCATCCATACCACTGGAAAAACCATAGCCTTGACTAGAAGGACCTTTGTTGGCAAAGTAATGTCTGTTTGTATGTATGTATACAAAAGCTTTTCTACTATGCTTGATAAAAGCCTGAGCATTTTAAAAACAATCTCTTGTTTTAAAAAAACTTTTATTGGAGTATAATTGCCTTACAGTGTTGTGTTACTTTCCACTGTACGCAAAGTGAATCAGCTCTATGTGTACATATATCCTCTCTCTTTTGGATTTCCTTTCCATTTAGGTCCCCACAGAGCACTGAGTAAAACTCCCTATGCTCTAAGTAGGTTCATTTTTAAACATAATCTTAACTGATGTATTCTCTTTACACATTTCTTTTTAATATTAATTAATATTACACAGTGGTTCCACCACTTGCTAGCTGGGTAGCCACAGGCAGTGACTTTGGTCCTCTGTGCCTCAGTTTTCCCATCTGTGAGCTGGGATGATAACAGTGGGCACTTCTTAGGTTACTGTGAGGATTAATTGCATAAAGTGCTTTCTGCCTGACATAGAACAGGCATTCATGAATTGCTAGAATGCTTCTTTTTTTTTAGAAGAGTAGATTTACAATGTTGTATTAGTTTCCACTGTACATCAAAGTGATTCATCAAAGTTACACATATATACATATATTATTTTTCATATGCTTTTCCTTTATGGCTTATTACAAAATACTGAATATAGTTCCCTGTGCTATAGAGTAGAACCTTGTTGTTTATCCATCCTATATATAATAGTTTGCAGCTAAGTTGCTTCTTTTTATTCTTGTGGTTGTTATTTTAATTTTGGTTAGTATTATTTTTTATTCAGTATTGATTTATTGATAATGAGAATATTAAAGGCAGAAAAATGAAAAAAAATCTATTCACAATGCATGAATATATATTCTATCATATAAATATATTTTACTTAATTCGGAAATTTGCCTTGTTTGCTTTTTAGATTTTCCCTAAGTTTGTGTTAGGGGTTAGTTGTTATTATTATAATTATTATTATTGTCATTTGGGATGTCCTGGCGGGGCTGAAGCTCTTCAAGCACCACTTCCCCAATGCTTGTTGCCACCGCCCCGCTCCCACCCACCCCCCCACCCTCCAGGGCATGACAAGCAGTGACTAGACTCTGAAACCTTGGGCAAGTTGCCCTCCACCAGCCTCAGTTAACCTGTTTGTGAAATGGGCTAGAAATATCCCGCCCTCCCCCACCCCCCATGGGGCAGTAGTGAGGATGAAATGAAGCCATTTAGGTTTTAAAACACAAGGCAAATGCAGACGTGAGTCCTAACACAGTCACTCTCTCTCTTTCTTCTGTCTCTCTAGTTCTTAAAGAACAACCCAGAAACAAACAAATACGACGGCTGGCCAGAGCTGCTGGAGCTGGAGGGCTGTGTGCCCCGGAAGATATAGGGTGGCTGCGGCCCTTCCTGGGCTGGGGCCCGAGGCTGCTCCTGCCTGACCTAGGAATCGGAGCCCAGGATCACTGCGAGTCGGACGGGCAGGAGCTGACAGACAGCAGAGAAGTGGGAGCAGCCATGGGACGTGGAAAGTGCTGCGGGCCCCCCAGTACTCTGCGGGCTCCCTCTGCTGGAAACAAAACCTTCCTTGGGTAGACGCATCCTCTCCGGAGTTGGCCAGCGTCCACTGGTCCTTCCGGAGCCTCTGTCTGTGGAGAGAACAGGTGTGCTTTCCCTAGGGGACCGCTGACTGTCGCTCCCGGGGGAAGGACAGGACAGACTGCCTGCACCTGAGCACAATTAAACTTTATTTTTGGTGATTTCAAACCAAATTTCCCACCCCTTTGCTGTGCAATGCTTCCCCGGGGGTGGGAATGGTCCAGACAGGGTTTGCTCAGCCCCGTGTTCCCACAGGTCAGCAATGGTGTCAAGCCCCTGGTTAGGCAGCTGGAAAGGAGGTTGGTTTTATAGGGATCTCATTTAGATATGAAAGCACTGTTGGTTCCCAACATGAGGTGTAAGACCCACAGGAGCAGAGAGGGCCGGAGGGCCAGACACGGCGGACACGGTCTTCCACTGCTATTTGAATGAGAGCTGCAGAAAATCTAGAGCTGGTGAGGGGGAGGACGCGGGGAGATCTGAGAAAGGCTGGAAGGAACAGCCAGACTGGAAGGCTTCGGGGAAGACATCCTGGCTGTCTCCGTGTGGGGATTCTGAGCACAGGTTGTTTATCTGGGAAGGGACTCTGGAAAACACCCATAATGGGCAGGGAAGTAAGACAGGGAAGAGAAGGCAGCCCAGCAGGGGTGTGTTGTCGACTCAGCTGCCACTGTGGGTGGTGAAACTTAGTCCCAAGGGAACCCCTAGGAATTGGCGTCCAACACGCACCTCAGAGCTCTCAGGAGAGGCGAGGGAGCTGGGGTCCTTACACAGCGGCTCCCGTGGGCTGCCGGTGTTGTCAAAGTCCTGGGCGCAGTCCAGTCTGCCCTACGTGGGGGAGAGCAGCCATCTTGGCTTTGCAGAGCGTCCTTAGCCAAGAGATGTCAATACCAACCACGGGAGGCCACTGACGTGGAGAAGCCCGAGGGATATGGTGGTGAGACCCTGCCTGGGGTCTCTGAGAAGGGCCGGGGAGGGACAGACCAAAGCCTGGGAGGAGGCATGGGGGCAGAGAGCACTGGCCCTTGGGCTCCAGGAGCGTGTACCAGGGAGAGAGCAAGGCTCACGGAGAGGACGCCCAGGCCCCAAGTGCAGACTCCCCGAGCGGTGGGAGCAGAAGCTGAAGTCCTGTGCACTCCACGGGTGTGGGGCTCACAGTTACCGAGCTCTGAGGACAGACGGGGCTTCAGAAGGGCCGAGCGGGCCTGGGGTAGAGGAGGACAGTGTCTGGGAGCCTTCACCAGGGCCTTGGCAGGCGGCGGCGGGGGCTGCAGTTGCGTGGGGTCAAGATCAGTGATCAGAGCCTGGTAAGACGGCAGTGAGCAGGCCTGGCTAAGGAGGTCAGAAGGCGCCTGGCTGGCCACCCTGCCGATGCCACAGCCCCATGCCTCTTCCCCAGGCATGGCAGCTCACTCTCAGGGGAAGTTTGCGGGCCCCATCTGACCCCATGCACATCCACATAACGCTGGCAGCAATGGGGGCAAGCAAACAAATTTGTCCCATTCCTCCCTTTTTGTTCCAAGTGGAAGGCCCTCTCCCCACACTTGACATGCTGACAGAGGGCTGCCCCTGCACCCCCAGTACCCTTCCATCCTGATCCCCCAGGACCAATGGGTCAATCTTGGGGCAGGGGGGTGGGGGCGTGCTTCTGAAGGCCCTGGACCCCGACCAAGCCCCTCAGCCTCTCTTAGCTGACTCACTGTAATGGGTGGTTAGCCGCCGCAGGCAGTGTGGCTGGTCAGAAAGGCCAGGCCCAGCCCTGAGTGCTGGCTCTGCCACCCTCTGGATGAGCAGGTCATGTCACCTCTGGGCCAGAGTTCTCCTTTGAGAAATGGGGGCAAAGGGTATCAGTCTCTCAGGGGCTTGTGGGCACTAAATATGATAAAGTAGCCATATCACCAGAAGTCAAAGATCATACGTATGTACGATGTTTGGGAAAACATCTGGCCAGACAGCCCCTCTGGGGATGAAGGTGCCGGCAGTTTGCATTATTACCATACACTACTCTTATGTATGCTATTTTGGGGGATTTTTTTTTTTTAAGACAAGCAAAAATATCTCATAAAATTAAACGAGGACGAATAAGACTGCTAAAGTGAGGCTATAACCAGGAAGGAAGGCAGTGTTCTCTGCAGGGGCCACGGTTTAAAAAGGACCACCTGGTTGTGGTACTTTTCTAGAAGCTGCATTTGCACAACACTTCAAAGAAGATTGAGAAAACGTCAAGAGGATGAATCAGAGAATTGAGGAAGGGTCTCCTGGAGAAGGGAGCTTGGCAAGGCAGCACAGCGAGAAGGTTGGTGCCCCACCCACCCAGCCCCTGTCCCAGCTTGTGCTCAGACTGGCTGGTCACTCTGCACTCTCCTTTAGAGAACTGCCCCGGGGCTACGCAAACCTTCTTTGCTCCTGAGTGCAAAGAAGAGAGGCCAGGAAGTGCCGGCGTTCACATGAGCCAGGGCTGGTCCATAGCTGATGACTCCCTGGGCTTGGGGCGGGACCGCCATGAGGGGTAATGCACGCATCCCCCAGAGTTCCCTGTGGGCTCGAGTTAAAGCTGGGACTTTGCCCGAAAGCATCCCTTCGCCCCGTTCCTTCCACTTCCCCATCCTGCCCCCGCGCTCCCTTACCTACATCCTCCAGTCCTTCATAAATCACTGGCCTGAAGTCGTATCCCGAAGTTGGCTTCTGAGGGACTTTGGTCCCTCCCCCCGGAGAGGCGGTGGGCATGGCCAGCAGGTAGGGCTGCGCGCAGGCCTGGACTAGGAGCCAAGACCGCCCTGTCTGCACGGATTCCCCTTAAACGCCACTTCTTGAAGCCACGCTGGGCCTCGCTGGGGCTGGCATCACAGACCACCCATCAGACTCCCCACGTCATCTTCAGGGCACTGTGGTCACCATAGGGACCCCCGGGTCAGGCCAAGATTGGGGCAGGATAGAGAATCCAAAAACCAGCCATCGAGAGCGGAGTCTGTAACACTGAGTCTACTGCCCCCTGAGGGTCAGCTCCCTCACTCACCTTCTATGTGTCAGAAACGGGGTGTCTACTGGGGACACCCCGATGAAGGGAACGAGGCACGTTCCTGCTCGTAGTCCAGGAGGGTCACGCAATGCAGCTTGATAAGGACTATGTTGGGGGACAGCTGTAGGGTCAGGGAAGGCATCCTGGAGGAGGCAGCACCACCGAGAGCCCTGGGAACGTGCCGAGTTCACCAGGCCACGAGGGGAAAGCGGCGTGTGCCGGGCGAGGCAGGAGTGTAAAGGACGCCCGCAGGGGGCACAGAGAGGGTGCCCAGCGCTGAGCGGACGGGGCGAGGGGGCCTTGTGGGCTTGGCGAAGGCTCTCAGACTCTGCCCAGGAGCTGTGGGCATACACTGAGAGATCTAAGCTGAGGCTGGCATGATCGGATTTGCAATTTTTAAGACATTCCTCCTGGCTGTTGTATGGAGAAGGGAGTGGAGGCAAGAGGGTCAGTGAGGAAGCTGCTGTGTCATCCGGGGAGAGTGGGTGGTGGCCTGGCCAGAGACGGGATGGGGGAAAGGGACCAGTCTCAGGGATATTCGGGAAATAAAATGGACAAGACTCGGGGACTTACTCTCTCATCATCGGGGTGACAAGCCTTCAGGAATCCCTGCAAGGAGCTCATGACCTCAGAATCTGGGGCTTGCATTTCCCTTCATCCTTCCCACCAGCGTGCCAGTGCTGCCTCCCAGCAGTGAGGCTGGGGCCATGAGCGGAGTGGGTGTTGCCCAAGTCACAGCGAGGTCTTTCCAGTAGCTGTAATTCTGGTCCTAACCAGTAGGTGGCAGCCCAAGATAGAAAGGGAAGGATGGTATGTTCACCCAGGTCGTGGGAAAGGCTGGTGCTTAATAGACTGGTCCCCGGGACTTGCCAATGGGCAGTGGACTTACCACCACTATTATGAGGCACATCACAACGTCAGAGAAGTCCCTAACTTCTCTGGAGACTTGGCTGTCATCCAAATGGGCTCTGCACAGAATTTTACATGAGTTACCTCATTTCATCCTCATAGCCGCCTGGGATGGGGATCCTCATTATTCCTTTTATGCATACATAAAATGAGGCTCAGAGAGGTCAAGTAACTTGTCCAAAGTCACACAGCCAAGAGCCTCAGAATAGAGATTGGCATCCTGGTTTATCTCCATCACTACAGGAAACAGACTTTTTCAGAAAAACTTGCCCTAAAACTACTCTGAAACTACTACTATTTTCTATCCCCCTTTATCTTTCCATCTTGACTCCCTCTACCTTCCTCCTCCTCCTGCATGCCTCTGAGGACTTCTGAAAATTGCCAAAGGTCTCAGCATCTACCATCATTCTTTGGGAGAGATGGAGGGGGCTGGGCTTGGGAGATCTGGAACTCCTCTGTTCAGAACCCTGCCACGTACCGCAGGCCTTGCTTCTTTCCACAAGGCTGTGGGCCAGGAAGGAGCAGATGTTTATCTGCTTTTTTCGGATAAAGAAAGAAGCTAAGCATTGTGCTCAGGCCACACGGTGAGACCAGGCCAAGCTGGATCTGGCTAGTCCTGACCCTCCACCAGCAGCCGTTGTTCCACAAACCACTTGTGTATTTCAAGCATTGCCCCTGCAGGGACCACCACTCCCATTCCTCCCGCCCAAGGTCCAAAGGCTGGTTTTCAGACCCCTGTCCTGCCAGGAGCCAGGCTTCAGACATCCAGTCAATCGAGGCATCCGGTCGAGCCAGCTTTCAGTGTGGCTCATAAGCCCTATTTCAGCAGGACTCCAAACAGGTGGGGGAAAATTAATAAATGTGTAAAATTCCTTTTTCTCCCTTCCCATCTCACCAAGAGCCAAGCCAGTGGATAATTATGGGATGGCTGCCAACAGAGTTTGGTCTTCAGGGCTGACTGATGGCGCTTGTACTGCTGTGGCTGACGGCCAGTCTAGTCACCGCTCTTTCCAGTTTTGTGGGTGTTCTTACTGCGGGAAATCAGAAGCTGTACCCCTACTATGACTGGGACAGGGAGAAGAGGCAGGAGCTGAACCTAGGAGAAGCAGCAGAGGAAAGAAGCCACACTTTGGCTTGGCTGGAGGGGACAGAGGCGCTGGGGGAGATACAGCAACAGCAATAACACCAGTGTTGATAATCGCCATGCAAGGAGCGCTTGCGATGAGTTAGGGCCGTGTTAAGCACTCTACGTACTTAAGACTTTTTCATCAAATCCTGCATCATTTATTTATCCCCTCCACCAATATATGGGCTTCCCTGGTAGCTCAGATGGTAAAGAGTCTGCCTGCAATGTGGGAGACCCCGGTTCAATCCCTGGGTCGGGAAGATCCCCTGGATAAGGAAATGAAAACCGACTCCAGGATTGTCGCCTGAAAGATCCCACGGACCGAGGAGCCGCCAATATGTCCTCAGTGACTGCGGCATGCCGAGCACTATTCCAGACGCAGGGGAGTGAACTGAGGGAGAAGACAGACCAGTCCCAGCCTCCGTGAGACGCCATTCAGGTAGGGATGACAGGCAATAAACGCAGTTTCCGACAAGTGCTGTAATAAATACTAAACAGAGAGCTCTGAAGGCCACAGGAAGTCTGGGAAAGCTTCTCTGAGGCAGGGATAACTGAGCCTAAAAGATAGAGAGTAAAGAATCGTGCCAAGATTTTAAAAGCAAAAGAAATGAATTCAAGGGAGAGAGATGGGAAACATTTCAGGCAGCAAGAGCAAAGGTGCTGAGGTGAGAACAAAAGGCGTCCGAGCAGGAACTGTCAGGGAGGGGAGGGGTGCGGCAGGTGAGGTCTCAGAGGCAAGCAAGTCTTGCTGAATCAGACTTGTGGACCACGGGGGATTCCATTCTATGGGCAAAGTCGGGTCTAGAGCACCTAATCCTGCACCCTTCACCACCAGCTGCCATTTCATTCGTCATCCATGTCACAACCCATCCCTGTGCCAGGCTCTGTGCCGGAGGAAAGGCAAGGCCACCGGGGTTTCCCCACCCAGCCAGCTCTTGGGAAAGGATGCTGTGCTGAATCAAACTGCTTACCTGGGACTTGCCAGCGGGCAGCGGGTCGATCATCGGTATTAGTAACAGCGGAATAACAGCAGCATCTAAATTCCGTGGACAATTGCTGTCATCAAAACCTGTGTCAGAGCTTTATGTGAATTACCTCATTTCATCCCCACAGCCCTGTGGGATGTGGGACCACTGTCATCCCAGTTTGGTCAAGAGGAAGATTATGAAGCAGGGAACGACATTTAAGCTTTAACAGGACAGTGGCTTCAGCTGCACACACCTCCCCTTCCAGCCCTCAGAGCAGCACCCCCGTGAGCTGTGGTTATCTGACCACCCCACCACCACCACACACACAGGTGAACAACCCGGGGCTCAGAGGTCAAGTCATGTGAGGAAAAGAGCTGGACTCCAGGCCAAGGTGACCCCAGCCTTAATCTCGCCCAGGCCGGTGACAAGCAGCAGGGAGGGGTGGAAATGAGGAGGACGGTGGCTGCTGGGCGACACTGAGACCTTGGCCCCCAGCCTGGAATCCAGCCTCCAGATATTTTCCTGGCCTGAGCCCAAACTGGCCGCCCGGCTTGGACTGCGGCTCTGGTGAATGAAGCATTCCGCTCCGGGCATCTCTGCTCCAGAGAACCCCAGCCCCGAGGGCCTTCTCAGATCTGTTCTTAACAGGCTGAAACAGCCTGAGGGTCACATTCCCACACAGACCCTCCCGATCTCTGCCGAGCCTGTCTGGGCTTGGATGTCAAGCCCAGCCCTCTGGGCTGCCAGAGGTCACCTGCCTCTCCCCAGCTGCCTGCTCTGGGGGGGAGAGGACTGCTCTGCTCCTCGCTGGGAGGGGCAGGAGTGCGGGAGGTGAGGACCCACCGGGACCCCAGGAGGGCCGCGGCTGCCTGGGGCCAGCAGGCCCCTCCGTCAGGATCAATCACCCTAAGCCTGTCTGAGGAGCAGCCGGCTTAGGAGCAGCCGTGAAAGCCGCCTTTGTGCCCGAGGAGAATGAGCCGCAGGAGGACGGGGGCCCCTGGCCCAGGGCACCCCTCGGGCCCCGGATCCTGAAATAACACCGAGGGGAGGACCCCCCGGCCTGGCCCCGGGCCCAGCCAAGCCCGGTGCCCGCTTTGTGCCATGGGAGCTGCCCAGGGGAAGAAGGTAGGAGTCCCCAAGGGTCCTGCAGATGCCCTGGACGCGGGGAGGGAGGCTGCGCCCGCCAGGTGGGGTCCCTCACACTCTGCCGGCCGGTGCCCGCTTTGTGCCATGGGAGCTGCCCAGGGGAAGAAGGTAGGAGTCCCCGAGGGTCTGCAGATGCCCTGGACGCGGGGAGGGAGGCTGCGCCCACCAGGTGGGGTCCCTCACACTCTGCCGGCCGGCCCCCTCCCTGAGCTCAGCGCTAAGATTTCATGTGGAATCCTGGCTTGGGCTCAGGGCAAGGCCTGCATCCAATCTCTCCATCTCTGAATCAGACCTGGGGCCGCCCAGCCTCTCAGGCTCCCTGGTCTTAAACACACACACACCCCCCCTTCCTGTCCTGCCTCCAGGTTCCCTGGCCGCTCCCCGAAACCCCCACCCCAGCACCAGGGGAGCCTGGCACAGGTAACGGCAGGGCAAGAAAACAATAACCACCATTGTAACTAACTTGGCTAGCCAGTTATCACCAGAGGTAGGGCCAAGGGCAAGTTATTGAAGCTCTCGGTAGCTCATTTCCTCGTCTGTGAAATGGGGACGTTAGTAGTCACTACCTCCCAGGCATGTGGTGGGGATTAAAAGAATTACAATATGCAAAGTGTTTGAAAGAGTGCCTGGCACATAGTGGGCTATATACAAACTATGGCCTGTTGTTGGTAGATTTGTCTTCGTATTATTATCCATCTATCCATATTGTCCATCCATCTATTATCCTTCTAAATCTGGGTTCTCCATGGGGTAGGGGGAGGGAGTGTTGTAGACAGCACAGCCAGTGCGGCGTTTCTGAAAACGAGGTCTGTACACCCCTTGTGTTGGCTTTAAACATGGTGGGGGGGGGGAGGTGTGGGAGGGGGCTTGTTAACCTGTCACTATCTCAGGCCTCACCCAGAGCCCCTGGGTCAGAGTCTCTGAGGAGGGGCTGGGAGTCTGAGCCTTTTCACACTCTTGGGGAATTTTGGCACATGCTCACAGCCATACCAGGACTGCCCACCAGCAATGTGGTCAGGCTGCCGGGTCCCAGCTCCTCCACCTACTTCCTGTGGTGAGGAACCCCACCCTCTGCATCCCAGTCCTCACCTGGGAAGTGGGGTGGGTGTCCGTCTCTGGGGGGTTCCCTGAGATGCTGCCAGTAAAGTGCTTATCAGCTTCCTGACCCCCAGAGGGCCCCATTCACGGAGATGCTAATCCTCACCCAGCTGTGATGACCTGTTGTATTAAAGGCGAGGAAGTGAGGTTCAGAGGCCAAGCGTGACTTCTTAGCCAGTGTGGAAAAGGGCATGATTTTGACCCCCTTCTGCTTAACTGCAAACTTTCTGCCAACCCAGCCCATCCCACACTTTTCAAATTTAAAGAAGAGTACATCATGGACCTGTGGAGGAAGAACTCTGGTCCTTAGTTTCTCCATTTGCAAAATAGGAGTGTTGGGCTAGATAACCGCTGCATGCATGCTAAGCTGTGTCCAACTGTTTGCAACCCCATGGACTGTAGCCCACCAGGCCCCTCTGTCCATGGGGATTCTCCAGGCAAGAATACTGGAGTGGGTTGCCGTGCCCTCCTCCAGGCGATCTTCCCGACTCAGGGACTGAACCCAGATCTCCTGCATTGCAGGCCGATTCTTTTTTTTTCCCCCATTTATTTTTATTAGTTGGAGGCTAATTACTTTACAGTATTGTAGTGGTTTTTGCCATACATTGACATGAATCAGCCATGGATTTACATGTATTCCCCATCCCGAGAGGCCGATTCTTTACCGTCTGAGCCGCCAGGCCTCCTAGGGCTGGCCTCGCTTCCCATTGCAAGGCTGACTCCTGCCTGCAGGGGTCAGTGTGGGTCACCTGCAGTCAGGGCAGGAAGGTGATGGGACACAGTCTCTGGAATCCCAGAGCTGCCCTCCCAGCCAAGCCTCGGGCCCTGGCCCTGGCCCCAGCCGATCCCCTCTTTCAGAAACACCCTTTCCGCTCCTGCCCTCTGGATCCTATCGGTGCTGAACTTGAGGCAGGAAGTCATCATGGAAGCCAGGCTCCCAGGCCTAAAAATGACCCTAATAAGGTCTGTCCCAGGAAGGACGAAGTATAGCTCACAGTCTGCCTCTCCCTGTTCCCACTCTGCAGCTGACATCACAATGGATCCCCACACCCTTTCCCACTAAGTCCAGACAGCTTCAGAATCCTCAACGCAGCCTAACGGGTCAGTCAGAACTTGCCCCCAGATTGAAAGTCACACCTATCCTTGGACCCAGCCCCTTCCCCACCCCAGGGGAAAGCCCTCCAGGGAGAAGGCAGCAGGGCACAGTGATTAGGAACATGGGCTACACAGTCAGACAGGCCTGAATCAGTTCCTCCACATCCTCTGTGACCTTTGGCAAGTCACTGCACCTCTCTGATTCTACCTTAGTAAATGAAGGATAAAAGACCCTCCTCAGATTGTCCTAAAACCCAGATGATCCCATGCCTGGAACAAAACGGGCGCTCAGTCTCTCCCTGAATCGGATCCTCCCGTGCCTGCGTCCTCTTCTGAGCCTCACCAACCTTCCCTTGAGCCAGCAAGGGCATCAGTATCACGGCCAATGGCAGGCATAAAAGCTGACACCCAGCAACTGTGCCTTCCCCCGGGGGTCAGTGGTGAGCCAGGCTGGAGCGAAAAAGGCTGTGAGCAAGCCTCAAGCCCAGGCTTCCCCATCGGTAGACCACCCACCAGACCTCCCCCAGGCCCGCCTCCCTCCTTCCAGAGGCAACACCCCGCTGGCCTCTGTGTGATGTGTAACAGACCTGCTGTGTGGAAAGTAATTCCTGTCACCTATGCATTTACTCTCCGACGGGCTTGTTCCATGAGATGCACCCTGCTATCCTCAGAGGCATCCCATACCCTGCCCCCAGTGTAATCATAAAATAACAGCTCTAGAAAAGCCTTGGTGATGCGGTCCAGTCCCCCCTCACTGAACAGCTGGGAAGACTGAGGTCAGAGAAGGGAAGGACTTCCCAGGGCCATGCAGCCAGGGCCAGGGCATTTCTGTAGTGCCTGCAGCTCCTTCCCCAGCACCAGGAAGGGAGGACGGAGCTGCCCCTTGGAGATGACTCCTGCCCACAAAGTGCGCTGTCGGGGTACCGAGCTCCATCCACCACATCTTCATCTTTCCCGCCCCCGCCTCCCCCAGCAACATAGTAACTGGGTACCTGCTCCTCTGTGGCTTCCCTGCGAGCTCAGTGGTAAAGGATCCTCCTGCCAATGCAGGAGACCTGGATTCCATCCGCGGGTCAGGAAGATCCCCTGAAGAAGGGAACGGCTACCCATTTCAGTATTCTTGCCTGCAGGATCCCATGGACAGAGGGCCCTGGCAGGCTACAGTCCGTGGGGTCACAAGTAGTTGGACATGACTGAGTGACTAAGAATACTTGCACCTGCTTCCCTGTGCCGGGAACTGAGCCAGAGATGGAAGGGATGGTTCCTGCCTTCACAGCCGTCTCTGTGAGTTGGGGAGATGGACAGGCAGGCAAATAATGATGGTGGGAACAGCACGTGTGACGATAAAGATGCGGCTGACCGGTCGGACTTGTCAGGACCATCTCCAGCTGCAGTGAGGGCACCAAGTGTGAGGACTCCAGGCTGGAGTCGGCTGCTGAAATTCCCATAAATTAGATTTCACTTAGAATGCCATCTGCTTCGAGGAAGGGAAAACCCAAAACCAGCTGGTCTAAACAATAAGGAAATTTATTGGGTTCCCTAAGTGGAGGTCCAATGGCTCAGTAATGTCTCCAGGGCATTTCCTAGAAATATGCAAGCAAGGTTCCCTTGAATTTCACTGGGAACAATTAAGTCATGTGCCATCCCTAAAGCAGCCCTTATCCCCTGGGGAATACCAAGGGCGTTGGCTTCACCTGGAATCCTGAACCTGGTGCTGGCAAAGGATGGAAGCAGGCCCATGGGACTGGTTGCGGCCAACCAGAAACCCCTTGGGGCTGGAGATCAGTCCCCCAATGTCACCCCCCAAAACTTAACAGGAGAGAGTAAGATGGATCCTGGGCATTCAGTCATGCCACCCCCGTGGGAGAGGTGGTGTGACCATGGTGTGAACAGAGAGAATGGAAAGAAATTGAAAAGTTCTAGGGGGAGGCAGAAAGCATGCTGGACCAAGAGTCACAAAGCAGACATTGTTGCCCCTACTCGTCCTGGGCAAGTTCTGAACTTCCCTTGAACTCAGCATGTTGTAATCTGCAAAGCGGGTACCCAGGCCACACTCAGGATTTTTGCAGAGGATCAAATGAAGGCACTTTCAATACACGGAAGCAGTGTTTCTGTTTGGAACATTCCAGAAGCTGGAAATATTGGGCAGCTGGGTGTGGACTGATTTTCTTCATTTTTTATTTTTGGCCGCACTGGGTCTTTGAAGTGGCGCACAGGCTCTTTGCTGCTATACACAGCTTTCTCTAGTTGTGATGTGCTGGCTTCTCCTGGCTTCACTTGTTGCGGAGGCACAGCTGTAAGGCGTGTGGGCTTCAGTAGCTGCGTCTTGTGGACTCTAGAGTGCAGGATCAGTAGTTGTGGCACATGGGATCTTGGTTCCCCAACCAAGGATCAAACCCATGTCCCCTGAATTGGCAGATGGATTCTTCACCACTGGACCACAAGGGTCCTGGCATGAACCTGGTGGACACCATTTTCCTGGGCCCTAAGACCATCTGTGACCATTTTCCTGGGCCCTAAGGCCACAGGACCGCCACGGTCCTGGCGTATGTTAATTTTAGAGAGATGAGTGCAGACAACAATGTCCTGCGTGGATCCTTGCTTTAAGTTCTTATGACAGTGAGGTTGCAGGTCCTTGGGTAGAAAGGGTCCAGGAAAAGCAACTCCCACGAATCTCAGACAGCCCTTGCGGGCGTGGACACAGCATTCTCTAAAACATTCCTCCGAACTCAGCACCACCCGGGTTTTTCACTTCCGTGAACAACTCTGTTGATGTTTGCCAAGACGCTCATTGCTTTGCATTCATCTTCATTGGAAGAATGTTTCCATGGCTGAAACAGAAGGGGAAAAAATTGGGAGAGATGGTTAATTTTGATAAACAGCCTGGAAGGGAGTGTTTGTTCTTACAGAGCCCAAAAGGCACCCATCCGGCACGGCCCCACTGACTCTGAAGAGTTGGCCCAAGGAAGGGTTCCACTCGCCAGCCCACAGCTGAGCCGGGCCTGAGGGCTGCATTAGGAGCCCCTCGCCATCCGCGCCAACCTACCCCCCGCTACTCTGCCCACCACCTCAGACCGCTTCTCTGAGGGGAAAGTTTACCACCAGGCTCCCAGAGGACTCAGAATGGGGGGCTCCAGGCCAAGAGGAGAAGGCTGTCAGGAGCCCATGGGGAGACCCCTTCCTCACCCCCAACAAAGCAGAGACCTGCTCCTGGCTGAGCCCTGACTCCCAGCCTCCCGGGCTTCACTCACACCAGCGGCTGATGCCTGGAAGGCCCTCCCGACGGCGGCCCGCACATCCAGCCCGTCTCTGAGCTCCAGGCCCAGCGCCCGCCCACCTGCTCTTGTGACTGCTCTTGGACCAGGCGAGTGTTGAATTCTGACTGTACCCCCAGCAGACGTTCCGTCACAAGGTGTGAGGGCAGACGAGGAGGAGGGGGCAGAGCAGTTTCTGAGCACTGACCCTGCCAGCCACCACGCGCGGGGCTTTCACAGGCTTCCCTTCACCCTCCCAGCCCCGCAAGGCAGACGATGCCATGCCCACATCATGGATGAGTGACACCATGGATGCGCCGCTCTGAGTGGCTGAAAGGGGCTTTTGAAGGCAGGTGGAATGACCTTTGGAAGCAGAGAAAAGGCACCGTTTTCCTAAGGGCCCTAAGGCCACCTAATGAAGCTGTCATTCTCTGCTGCTCTTGGCTTCCCAGGCTGGGTTCAGGTCGGGCACTGCACAGAAGTGATGAGTGCCTGGGTTCATAGGGGTGGGAATCCATCCCACATCCGCCAGTGGGGCCTTGTGCCCGGGTGCTAGTTAAGTCTGCCCAGAGGCAAGAGTATTGCTCTATATAATGATGCAATGCCATCACTTAAAGCCCTTCAACCACCTTTCCCAAGAAACTTTTCCTGTCCGTCTTTGTGGCTGGAAGTCCAGCTTGGGAGGGAACGACGTTGAAGGAGAAAGTAAGATGCCCACCCAGCTGGCACTTCTTATAGGACGTCTTCCCTGCCTGGGTCTCAAATGTCCACACAGGACTCGGGGCTGAGTAAGAAGGGGAGGGGCAAGCCTGTCCCAGAGCTGCATTTGCTTAACTAGGTCTGCATGTTTTACTAAACCTGAAGGACTAGCAGGGGTGACCGGGAAGGGGCCAGGGAGATGAGAAGGGGGTAACAGTCTTCTTGTGAATGTGCTAATAAGAATCCTCACCACAAAGGTACCGACGCCCCTATTTCACCAGACTCAGGGAGGCACCCGGCAGGTACCGGGGCTGGGGCTTGAACCAAATCCGTCTGGT